AAAGAGACAAAGCCAGGAGAGACAGACTCTGCTAACAGATGCAGGCTGGCTCTCTGCCCCATGCTGAGCAGAGAGGGGGACCCTGCCCCCCCCCACACCTTCCATGCCACTTATTCCTCGAGACTAAGGTATGTTCAGGCTTCAGTTCACCTTTTTGAATACTTGCTTGCAGACCACACCCTGCACTCTCATCTCCTGAAACAAAAACAGATTCTTGTTATTGGCCAAAGCAAGGTCACACTTGGGGCTCAGCGGATCCAGGGGCAGGGACTTGGAAAATACTCCGTGACTGCTATTTTCCCCCAAGAGTTGGTCTGAACTAGACAATTCCTTGGTGAGTCAGTTGAACTGGATCAGTGGACATTGGTCTTGGCTATGCACTGTAGACAGAGCTGGCTGGAGACAGATGTGGCTCAGAGCTGACTGACAGGACTCTCAGATGCCTCCCTCCGTCTACTACCCTCGACAAGCCAAAGGCTTTAAGAACATCAGGCCTGAGCCTAGGTCAGAGTCTTTGTGCAGGGCTGCAAGAAATCAGGGCCAGACACAAGGCTCAACCCCCAAAGGGGTCACTGCAGACCAGGGTTGCAAACCAGCATGGTGGTTCCAAGCTTCAGCTGCACATTAGAGTTACTGGGGGAGTTTGAAAAATGCCTGGGTTCTAGGCTAGACTGATATCAGTATCTCAGAGGGTGAGGTCCTGGAATTGCTATTTTTAAAAGCTCCAGGGTAGTGCTAAATGCAGCTAAGCAAGTCCATGCTCTGCCTCCAGGGCAACCCCTGCTGAGTGTTGCCAGAAAGAATGACAGCACAGTGTCGCCACACCTGCCACACCTGCGAAGCTTTTTGTTTGTTTGTTTGTTTTGGTAGGAGTCTAGAAATCTGAATATTTATGTGACATCTCCTAATTTTTAAATTACTGGCTGAAGAAATTTGAAGCCCATGGATGGCCAAATAAAAGAGGCCTGTGGCCCGCACTTTGCAACCTCTGGCAAAAAGCCACAGAACTATTGAGCTGACAGGGCCAGTGGAGATCATATAACCTACCCTCATTGCTCTGCGGTTGAGGAAACAGAGGCCCAGGAGGGAGAAAGGCTCAAGGTCAGACATTGCAGCCCAGACTCTACACGAGCCGAAGCTGCCTCTGAATATGATGTGTCTCCTCTCGGCACTCACATGTCCCAAAGCTCCTGCAGACCCTGACCTTGGCAGGAGCCCTATGTGCTAGGATGGCGTTTTGCAGATGAGGTTGAGGGAAGGAAGGCACCTGCCCCAAAGTAGGCGGTGAGTCAGAATAGACCCCAGGTCACCTGGACGAGGCTCCTTTCTCAGAAGGAAAGTAGCTGGGGAGTTCCAAGGTGGCAGAAGGAATGACAGGAGGTCTCTGCTCAGAGGGCAGGTGTTATTTTTAGCCCCCCAGAGGCTAAGGCCCCTACTCTGGATTTGGATGTGCTTTTTCCATACAATGGATAGAGCAGAAGTGGCTTTGACCAGCGATCCCAGGCTGGAGGACAGGGTGAGTGGGGCCCACACCTGAGCCGAGAAAGGCTTCTCCACCTCCAACCTAGATTGTAGAGATTGTAAGCAGATAGGGTAGGGAGTGCCCGGACATAAAGAAGCCATTTTTGGCCTAAGCCATTTTGTGATCTAAGCCTGGCTACAGTGCTTGCCCTTGAACAGGTCTCGTTAATTACTGACCTTAAGGGAAGTGAAGAAATGCAGGAACCAAGGAAAAGCAGTCAAGTTCAGTGACTTGTTTATCACAGTTTATCACAGTTCAGTAATAAAACAGAGGCTTAGTTCTTCCTCAAGGAATACACGTAACCATCTTTGAGTTCCTCGGGAGCTAAGGCCTCCACCCAGGTGGAGGATGGGATTATGATGTGGACCTTTTCTGACCCTCATGACTTCAATCAATTAAAGCTTGGGGCTTCCCTGGTGGCGCAGTGGTTGAGAGTCCGCCTGCCGATGCAGGGGACACGGGTTCGCGCCCCGGTCCGGGAGGATCCCACATGCCGCGGAGCGGCTGGGCCCGTGAGCCATGGCCGCTGAGCCTGCGCGTACGGAGCCTGTGCTCCGCAACGGGAGAGGCCACAGCAGTGAGAGGCCCGCGTACAGCAAGAAAAAAAAAAAAAAAAAGCTTGGACTCTATTGACCTTTGCCCCATTTCAATACTGCATTCTCCTCTGCTCAAGCCCATTCATGAATACACATGTGCCCTTGGTTTATAACTTCCCCAATTTTACTGTTCAGGGAGACACAGCTTTGGGAAAGGTCCCCGGTGTTCTCCTCACTTGATCCGAGTAATAAACCCTTCCTTCTCTGGATCTCTGGCTTGGTTGTATCTTTTGGCTTGACACCCACCAAGGGGTGAACCCAATTTTTAGGTAACAAGATCATGTCTTGAGAAGCTTAGAGAACTTGCCTGGTTCTGGCTAGCCACAATTTGGCATGGTGAAAACAGGTATCATTTGGGAGCAAATGTAAGTTCTGCTATCTTCTGGCTGTGTTACTTGGATGTGAGCCTCTGGGTCCTCATCTCCAAAATAAGAACCATAAGAGTACCTGGCCCATCAGGCTGCTGAGACAATGCAAAGAGATACAGAATGCTCCACATCTCATGCTTAGCAGATGCATCTCCTCACCTCCTCCCTCTGATTGGACAAGTGGGTCAGCCTAGACCTTGAAAACACATTGCTCAGTTTTTAAAGTCACTCAAGCATCTTCCCCAGGGCCTTGGAAGTGAAGCTTCAGAGCAGAACCAAGGTCCATCCATGGTGCATACTTCCAAAGTCCATCCAGACCCCAACATGACCAGGGCCTCTGGGACCCGGCTTGGCTTACCTACCCCCGTACCCCCGGAACCTACCAGGTGCAGCTCGTCACCCTCAATCCACTGGGTCCAGCCACGTCCCTCCTTCTCGCCCTTCTGCACACACTCGAGCTTGTCCCCATCCCAGCTCACCGTGGTCTGCAGAGCCAAAAACCACAGTTGTCAGTGTGGAGCCAGCAGCCCCTGGGCGCTGGGGGAGGGGCAGCCCCAACCTTGGGAATCCAGGGTGCGCTCAAGTCAATTTCATTTCAGAAAATCTACAGCCTCATACTCCTTGTCCATCACATGCTCTTATTAAAGTAGGCAAATCGTTTTTTTTTTTTTTTTTTTGCGGTACGCGGGCCTCTCACCGTCGTGGCCTCTCCCGTTGCAGAGCACAGGCTCCGGACGCGCAGGCTCAGCGGCCATGGCTCACGGGCCCAGCCACTCCGCGGCATGTGAGATCTTCCCGAACCGGGGCACGAACCCGTGTCCCCTGCATCGGCAGATGGACTCCCAACCACTGCCCCACCAGGGAAGCCCGCAAATCGGTTTTAAAATTCACAAAAACCTTCATAAATTTCATTTAAATGGATAATTAGGGGAGAAAAAGTCACTGGGGCGGGAGCTGTCGGTGCAAAGGCTGAGAATGGGGCTGGGAAGGGAGGAGGGGTTTCTGAGGGTTGAGCGCACACGGGGTCTAAGGGGTGCGTGAGGGCTGCTGGCCTGCATCTCGGTGGTGAGAGATAGACTTCTTAGAATATCCTGCTCATCCCCGGACATTCATTCATTCATTCATTCATTCACTGTTTCAACCTTTGCAAGGTCTTGGGACACCAAAAAAGAGGCCCCCCCACCCGCCTCAAACATCTTTTCACTGCCTGGAGAATGACCTTAGATATACATCACCATCTGCGGGTACAAACGGCAGCTCTCCCAGGCACTCTCGGCGCTGACTCTGGATCCTCATGACTGTCCACGTGGAGCATGGGCTAGCATCTCTGCTCTACAGATCAGGCTACGGGACTTGCCAAGTCCACCCAGGTGTCAATGGCAGAGCCAGATCAGAACACGGATCCGTGATGTTCAGAAGTCTCCCTCCCCACTGGACTACGCTGCCTCCCTAGGTGCCCAGCGTCACCAGAGTTACAGACCAGAGGCTGTGGGAGCCCAGAGGAGCCTCAGGGAAGGGAGGCGCTGGGAGGAGAAGGCACCAGGCTGGGCTTTGAAAGACAGGAGAGCAAAGCGGAAGCAGAGACGAGCAGGCGCTGGGAGAGAGCGCTTCTCTGCGGACCAGGACCAGACGAAGGCACAGAGACTGAACAGCACGGGGCGTGCTCAGGAAGCTCCTCAGGCAGGTTCCACATTCCAGGGGACCGTGGGGGAAAGAGGAGGAAGCCTCCGGTCTGCCCGCCCGATCCGGCCTCCACCCCTGCCTCCGGCCTCACCTTTGAGCCCTCACATCTTCCCTGAGCCCCGCGTGCCCCGCCAAGTACTGGGCGTGCTGAAGGGCAGACAGAGAGTAGGAGGAGGCCCAGCCTGTGCACATGGACCCACCCAGAAATACAGGGCTCGAGGTGCTGGAATTTAGAGGGGAGATGGTCCAGGAGCTCACGGTCTAGACTGGGACCTATGTGCAGTGGGCATCTCCCATATCCGCAGCTACCCACCTCCCATCCACATGGGCCCTGCCTCCCCCTGTAGAGGTTAGAGCCCCATTTTCCTCTTCACTGTGTGGCTCTGAGCAAGTCCATCACTTCTCTGGCCCCCGCCCCCCATCTGTCATATGAGGTGTCAGAGGACATGAACTCAGAGGTCTTGGCTTTACAGAGGTAAGGTTCTAGGATTCTTCTGTTCCTGCCATGCTCAGCTGAGAGGACAGGCAGCTAGAGCCTGATAAAGATTTAGGAGAGGAAGAGGAATCTGGGAAATGGGTGTGGAGTGAGTGGGCCTCTCCCTAGGGAGCACCACCTCCCTCTTCCTCCCCAACCCCCAGGCTCACGCCTGAGCTTGTGGATCTCTACCGCCCTCTACTGTTGGGATGAAGAATGCAATGAGAGGCGGGCACAAGGGGGATAGTTAGAGCCAGTGTGCCCCCAGCTCTGCACAGGCATCAATCTGCCCTCTGCTCCTGGAGCCCAGAGGGAGAGGGGCACAGGAGGACCTGGTGGGGGGCAGGCGGTTCCTCTCCCTGGTGCACAGATCACTCAGGGCACATGTCCAGCCCCAAGCCAGAAAGAAGGTCCCACCTCCAAGTCAGGACAGAATGAAGTGAATGTCTGACGAGGTGGGTCGAGGGTAAAAGCCACTAATGACCTCAAGCCACAGACAAGATGCCCATTCACTGGGTGCTCTGTCCATGCCCAGACTGTGAAGGGAAGTGGGGACTGAAATCAGATGGTCCTCAACTTCAAGGAGCTCGTAAGAACACCTGGCCTCCTCATCAACTGAGCTTCTCTTCATGTGTTTATCCAGAAGTCTACCCTGCACACTGCGGGCTCCAGACGCTATCAGAGGCCAAGAGAGACTCACTGGTGCTCAGTTACAATAGATACACTTCTGTCTCTACCGGAAATATTAGAGTCTATGAGCATATTCATACCCTCTGTCCTGGAAAACTCGAGAAATCCTCAAAAAAGAATATAGTAGTAACAAGAATACCTAAAATCTTGCTTCTCCAGAGATAATTAGATTTTGGTGTATTTCTGTCCAGTCTTTATATGTGTGTGTGTATGTGTGTGTGTGTGTGTGTGTGTGTGTATGTATACGCACACGCACACATATTTTTATTTTTAAAATATTCGGATTGCATCATTTATGGTTTTGCACCCTAGTTTCTTCACTTAATGGAAGCGATTTTCCACTTCAACAGATATTCTTCATAAGCATTATTTTAATTGTTATATAATATTTAGGAAATGGCTATGTAATTTGTAGTGTCCACCTAGCACAAAATGAAAATGAGGGCTCCTTTTTAAAATATGATTAAGAATTTTAAGACAGTGACAGCAGAGCATTAAACCAAGTGAGGGGCCCTTCTGGGCACAGAAACCTCTGGGACTGACTGCACGGGTCACAGGCCCATGAGGACAATCCTGGTAGTATTTCATTGTACATGCATACTTATTTAGCCCATTACCCATTCTTGGACTTTTAGGTTATTTATAATTCTGTGCTACTACAAGAAGACTTCCTTGTATACAGTTTTGAGCACAACATTTCTTTAGAATAAATTTCCAGAGGAAAAATTGTCGCATGAAAGTGTGAGCATATTTTTAAGGCTTTTGATAAGGATCACCACCTTGATCTCCAAAAGGCTCACACCTGCTTCCCTTCCAATGTCAATGTCAGAGAATGAGCACGAAAGAGATGTTCATTAATAGTAAAGCAGGTTAGGTGCTTCCCTGGTGGTGCAGTGGTTAAGAATCCGCCTGCCAATGCAGGGGACGTGGGTTCGAGCCCTGGTTTGGGAAGATCCCACATGCCGTGGAGCAGCTAAGTCCGTGCACCACAACTACTGAACCCGCACTCTAGACGCCGGGAGCCACAACTACTGAAGCCTGTGCGCCTAGAGCCTATGCTCCGCAACAAGAGAAGCCATGACAACGAGAAGCCTGCACACTGCAACGAAGAGTAGCCCCCACTCACCGCAGCTAGAGAAAGCCCACGCGCAGCAACGAAGACCTAACACAGCGAAAAATAAATTAAAAAAAAAAAAGTCTAAAAAAAAATAGTAAGGCAGGCTAGGGAGACTGGGATTGACAAATATGCACTAACATGTATAAAATAGATAACTAATAAGAATCTGCTGTATAATAAATAAATAAATAAATAAAAACCCAGTAAAGCAGGCCTTGCTCCTGTGCTAACATGTTACACTTTCTGATTCATTTGACATCTTTTAACAGGGACCGTTTGGATATAGATAATAAAAATACCTTACCAAAAGAATGATGGATGGTGCAATTTCAGGCTTCATGATAGATCAAGGGATTCAGGGAGCGGAAGGCTCTTTGAGCGTAGAGAACCCTTTCTTAGAGCCCTACAAATCAGACCCTCAAAGAGAAGGATCCTTAATGCACAAATGCCATGTCACTGTCCAGAGCGGGCACTTTCTCAAGCCCCGAGTTCCCGTTGACTCTTGACCCAGAGTGAGTGGGACAGAAAAGAGACTATTCTCATCTGTACTGGATATACAGAGGAGGCTGAGCTCAGAGAGGTTAAGTGACTTTCTCAGTGTCACCCAGCTAATGAGGAAAACAATTTGGGCTGGAACATGGGCCTTGCGTGACTCAGTGCCCCCTCGTTTCCCAGGCCAGGCTACGCACCCAGCCGATGTCTGCTCAGTTTTTTGGGGGTGCAGAGAAAACATGGGCATTATGCTAAGACTGAGCAGTCCCCGGGAGGAACACACTTCAGTTTAGCCCAACCATTGCTGGGTGTGGGGTGCTGGGAGCCAGAGATGTGTACTGAAGGCCCCTGGGCTAAGAGATCACCGAAGAGAAGGGCAGACGGAGAAGTGCCAGGCAGTTACGGCTCAGTGTGGTAGGTGCTGCCATCAGGGGAAGCACAGGGGCTGCAGTGCCCAGGAGGGCCCCTCATTCTCAGAGGAAACAAAGCTAGGTTTTTAAAGTGGGAAGGCATCCCAAACAGAGTGAATAACGACAAGCAGGCCAGTGCTGAAGGAGGGGCAAGTACAAGGCTGGGGGGTAGACAGGGTCATAGCACCAGACTCTAACTGGGACTGTGGCCTGGAGCATGTTTTTAATGCCCCCCAATGCTGCCTGCGCCCTCACATAGCCCCATGGCTCTGATCTGCTGGGTGGAACACTCTCCAGTGGGCCAGGGAGTCTGCCGGGCTGTCCTCTGGGAAGCTCAGCTGTAATTTACCCTGGGCTTCTGGTACCTGCCACCCTCCCACCCTGTATCAGGCTGACCCAGTATTGTCAGCATCGTCAACAGACCTGGGTCCTCTGTCCCTAACTGTGTGAAATGACCCTGGGCAATAGGATGAACCTCTCTGAGCCTCAGTGCCCTCATCTACAAAAGGGGGATTCATGGTACCTGCTATGGCAGACTGTTCCATCGGGGCTCCCAATGGGTCACATGACATTCACGCCCTTGTGAGGCCCCTCCCACATTGATTCTGGCCTTGGCTT